CGGTGATGACGTCGCGGCTTTAGCACCGCGATTTTATCACCGCGATTTTGACGAGCGCGGTTTTGTCGTGCCACGATACTACAGGGTCTCCTGCTTGAGGAAGGAGTTAGATTAAAAGACTTCCAAGGCTCCTTCCAACTCTGTTCTATTAACTCCAGACTAAATCCTGTATTACCACAAAGAAAGCTTTATGGTAATTGTCCATTGTTCGATCTTTGTCCAAGAAGAAGGCTTGGAAAATCTGAGCAAAACAGTTTTCAATCTATTCATGTCAAAGATATTGAAGTACATTATGTGTCTCCCACAGAGTAGCAGTAAAGCAGGCAAAGAGCAGCATTTCTATAGGAAGTTCGGTTTTTAAATGAGAAGCCACACTTTTGAATAATTTGAGTAATTGGAATTTTTTAAATGGTTATTTATAGGATTATATCCTTGTGGTTCCTGAAAGCATTTATGGCTCCAACTATCTTTCGGAAGAACCGCTGGACAAATCCTACGATTTCATCAGCAGCTGCGGAGTCAATGGCTTCTACATCAGGTGAGTTTGCAAATAAGCATCTGGGTTATTCCAATTCTCTAAATTTTAAAACCAATCCCCAGTGTTGGTTTAGAAGCACCCGCTAAGAGGTTTTATATGATCTTCAGTTCTTTCATTGAGAGTCCTTCCGAACCAATGAACAGTTGCATGTGACTCCTCCAACTCCCACAGGCACATGTAGAACTGTAGAACTTTAATAGAACTGGGACTTGATTAAAAATAAGCAATCCCATAATTAAATTTCCACAGTTGCTCAGGGATTGATCCTTGCCCATTCTATATAGACAGTGATCCAGTCCCACCTTTGTTAGGACCTTGGCTGAAGTTCCTGGATTCTTTGGCCCTTCCACTTGCCCTATCAATAATCTAGACTCAATATGAGTATGCCAAGATCCCGAGTCTGGATAAGATTGTGGTCTGGGATCTCCCCCACATGAGTCTAATCCAGCTCTTGACAAAAGCTGGAATTCTGTTTCAAGCAAGACCGCATTGGAAACCAATCAACCTGTCAGTCGCGCCTCCTTCAAAATCCAAGAAAGGAAAGCCCCCCCAACCCCATTGTTTTAGAGAAAAGTTAATTTTACTGGATATGAACTGATAGCAATGAAAATAAAGCAAGATCTGAGGCTAAAGGCACAAAATTGTCCATATCAAAAGTTTACCCAAATCCTTCCCGCCAATAACCCCAAGCCGAATGTCCAATCTCCAGCTCCCGAGGGTGTCAAGTGGGGTGCATCATCAGGTGGCTTCATCCATCTGGTATGCAGACATGGTTGGCTTTGACCAGACCTAAACAAGACCATTCTGCATGCGCAGAAGATGGTGAGATCAAAACTCCCTCTTCATTCAGAGACATCTCCTCCAGCACTCTTCCCCTCCCAAATACCGAAACCCCCTCCCCCCCTTTACTACGGCAGTCGATAGCAAGCAAGCGATATAGAGGCTGACACAACCTTTGATTTTACTCCTGCTCTTCTCAGACGGAGCAGAAGTGAATTCTGGAAAAAATGTTGTTTTAAGTGTGCAAGCCTACCAACATTTCCTTCCTCCAAATACTCTTACTATCTCCTCCCCCTCCGCCACAAGATCCAGTGTAATCCTTCCTGCCTTACGTGATTGGCTTTATTTATTTGATTCAACAGTGTGCTTCTCAGTGGTAAGGCACTCTGAGCATCCTACAATACACTAAGCAAGATAAAAAGATTGTAAGAAGAAGCAATATACAACCCTCCCCTCAGAAAACTGCAAAAAGAAGAACCAGATAAATATCCTCCAAATATCCCACTAACATTTAACATTCAACAGCTGGATCTCCAGCAAGCCTAACCGAAGGATTTGGAGACCAGCTGGGTGTTTATACCCCTGTGTAATGCCATCAGGATAGGAGCCATATGGATCTCAGGGGGAAACTCATTCCCATGGGGAAGAGGCTGCGATGGTGAAGGTCTGCTACCTGGGACATGATAGATGACATGATTTACTGTATTTTTCGGAGTATAAGACGCACTGGAGTATAAGACGCACCAAGATTTTGAAGAGGCAAATTAAAAAAAAAAGTTTTTGCACTCTGCAAACCTCCCCAAAATTTTTCACGAAAACGGCCCTGTTCCCCCCCCCCCCAAAAGGCATGAACAGCCTTTAGGAGACTTGCAGAGTGCTCCGGGGGGGGGGTTTTTACAAAAAATGGCCCATTTTTCACAAAAATGTGCCTGTTTTTTGTCAAAAAAGAGAGGCATTCATAGCCTTTAGGAGGCTTATAGAGTACTTCGGGGGGGGGGGGGGGGGGGGG